TGTTTGGAGATTTTGGATTTAATCATTCTTGTACTTAAATCATACCAGGGTTATAATGGTAATTTGTTGTCATTCAGATAACAGTTACCAAACAACATTATTTCATTCAGCACTTAACCATTCTGACCCTTTTAACCATTCTGACCTCTTAACTATTCTGCACTAAATCATTCAGCAACTGCCAAACAGCCCCTAAGTAACGGAGCCATATTTATTTGTGCTACCTTCATTCCCAGTATGAAAGGACCCGTTGGCATTAAACACAAAAAAAATCATCATTTTGGACCTCCATCAATCCTATTCATCGAATGTGTGTGGCTAAGTGCGGGATGTGAGACCATGTGTGTAGCATATACAATAGCAAGGAAACTTTTTAATTAACTTCAAATTTTCAATGATATTCAATGGTGCAGGTGAAAAACCTGGAATACATGAAAATTCCATTAGAACAGATAAAGTTGGCAACTCGTGATTTTCATGATGATTCTATTATCGGACATGGTGGATATGGGAAAGTGTACAAAACCGATCTCTTCCACTTTGATGTACAAAAATACGTCCAAGAGAATATGTTTCAGCGAGTGTCAATGGTTGAACTCTCTGACTACCAAAGAAGAAAAAGCACAGTTGCTGTTAAGCGATTAGATCGTAGATACGGACAAGGAACTGCCGAGTTCTTGCAAGAAATTTCAGTGCTTCCTTATTTTAGGCACCCAAATCTTATCACTCTTCTTGGCTTTTGCGATGAAGGTCAGGAGCGTATTCTTGTATACGAGTATGCCTCAAAGGGAAGCCTTGATGCATATATTTGTAGTACTGATACCAAGAAAAATCACACATGGGCGCAACGGTTGCAGATTTGCCTTGATGCAGCCCGTGGGATTGAATTTCTCCATAATGGTGTTGGAGAGTATCACAGGATAATACATCGCGATATAAAGAGCTCAAATATTCTATTGGGTCAGAATTGGGTAGGAAAGATTAGTGACTTTGGGTTGTCAAGAATCGGCCCTGCAAATCTGCAAGCCACCTTTGTCATGACTCAAGTTGCAGGCACACTCGAATATGTTGATCCACAATACCACAAGACAGGTGTGTTGACAAAGGGGTCTGATGTGTACTCCTTTGGAGTGGTTCTATTCGAAGTATTGAGTGGAAGGTTGGCGTATTTTCAAAAGTCCAAAGATGACCAAGAATTTTTACCCCACATGGCCAAACGTTGTTTTGAGCAGAAGAAGGTCAATGAGATTGTTGATCCTAAGTTGAAGAAAGAATTTGAAAAAGGTTCTTCCACTTTTGATGATGAAACCTGTCCAAATTCCATAAGTATATTTGCAACAATTGCATATAAATGCTTGCAAGAAAAACGAGATGGACGCCCCACAATGCTTGATGTCGTGGAAGAACTTGAAAAAGCATTGAAATCTCATGTAAGTTGTTTGCTTTACGACAACTATGCATCTGTAAGAACAGCTAACAGCTTTGTTCCATTGATTTCAATGCTTAAATTTTATTTCTCATTAGTTTCAACTCCCATCCACTAAAGAACCTCTAAAATTTTATTAGCAAGGACGACTTAAAATGATCTCTCTCCTCTATTAATCATAATATCATGTTGCACAAAAATCATGCAGGTAAAAGGAGTGGAAGCTCTAAGAACTTCATTTGATGCAATTAGATTTGCCACAAATGATTTTAGTGATATAATGGAGCACAAAGAATATGGCAAGGCGTATAGAGGAGAACTTTCTCATCCCAGGGGAAGCAACGCTGTTGTTGTAAAGAGGCTCGATCCTCTAGCGTCTTCATATGGAAACGAATTTTATAAAGAGATTGCCATACTTTATAGTTATAGCCACAAGAATATCATTCCTCTTTTAGGATTTTGTGAAGAGGCGAACGAGAGGATTGTTCTTTTTGAGCATATGGTCAACGGAAGTTTGAAAGAGCATGTGAAAAGTGCTAGCCTAACATGGAAACAACGGCTGAAGATATGCGTTGAAGCTGCACGTGGGCTAGCTTACATTCATAGTAGTGGTGCTGATACCAGACACTCAATTCATGGCGACATAAAAAGCAGCAGCATTTTACTAAATGATGAATGGGAAGCTGTTATTTCTGATCTCATCATACCCAAAGGTGTAGGCACGTTAGGCTATTATGATCCACTCTATGCAACCACAGGCATCCTAACCCATAAATCAGATGTCTACTCCTTTGGCGTGGTCTTATTTGAAGTCTTATCTGGGAGATTTGCAATTGAAACACTTAAAATGGATCAGCAAGATCCATGCCATGAATTTGAAGACCAGAAAAGAGGGGCAAATGGAGATGGTCAAATGATTTTTCTTGCACGGTTGGCTGCATATTGCTTCAAAAATAAAAAATTAGATGGTATTATTTTTCATGATATCAAGGGACAACTTGATGCAAAATCCTTGGTTATCTTTTCAACTATTGCCTATCGTTGCTTGAAAGAACAGTTAGAGGAGCGTCCAACAATAGGGGAGGTTGTAAAAGAACTTGAGAAAGCCTTCGAATGTCAAGTAAGTTCCAATGTACTCATTATGAAGTCAGTGAAGGACTAAAAAGTGTGCACAGTATTAGTGCTAGAAATTTAGTTTATGAACATGTTCATAAGTTAGTGCGATTCAGCAAGCTTAACTTCTTTTAACGTTAGTGTTTTCATATTTCATTTGAGCACAGGATGAGTCCGAATGGGAGAAAAAGCTGCCAAGAGATTATGAAAAAATAATCCAAATGTCAAAATATCCTGTGCCCAATACAAGCACCAAGAAGGATCTCCATTCCCTGCTTTCTTCAGGAATCCTCCTTCACAATGAACAGCTGGTGATTTAATCTTTAATTATTTCTGTTGTCTGCATTCTGAACATCTGCATACATATAATATCTATAGCAAGTGGTGTTTTTACTGATCATAAACTAGTTTCACTACAGGTATTAATTACAATCTTGAGGTCCAAATACTGTATATAAAATGTAAGGACCGATGAATAGAAGTTGATGTACTACAATAAAACTAATGACAAAATCTCTAAATGCATTACAGTGAACTCAACATTCTTTCTTCTTAGTCATTATCAAGATATCTTCTAATCTGCCACTTTTGATTGTAACAGTGGTTTTCAATAAGCACTGATGGAGTGACAAAAGAAATGGTATCAGCAACAAAGTTTTCATACAAAAATGTGAAGTGGAGATCTATACGAAAATCGAGGTTCTCTTTCTCTCTCTCTCATTCATGAGGTTCCCCAACTTGGTTCTTTTTACTTTTTAACATGTTAAACTAGATTATATTTGACCACTTAAGGGTGCGTTTGGTATGCATACTACATGGGATGGGACGGGACAAAATAAATAGTCCCATGTTTGGCATGCCATGGACAAAAAATACATAGTACAAGATGGGACTATTTTTTAATTTAATGGGACAAAACTTGATAATTTTTGTTGCACCAAAAAAGGTGGAACAACATGGGACTAAATATAAAAAGATTATATGAAAATAGAATTTGTGAAGTCAATTTACGATGAAGACAAGTAATATGTCTTAGGAGATGATGAAAACAATTGTTTTTGGTGCATTTGACATATTTTAGGAGACGATGAAAACAATTGTCCTTTTGTGATATTTTTGGTGCATTTGACATGTGGTCTTGGAATGTTAAACTTTTGATAATGTCATGACAAATGTTATTTAGAATTTGTGGTATGACAAATGTTATTTACATGTGGTCTTGGAATGTTAAAAAAGGTGGGTTGAATAACAGGTCAAAATGGGTAACATTTAAGTGCGATTGCCGGGTTGGCTCGTCAATACCCTTTTGTCATTTTTTTGGATTTATATTTAATGTATTAAACTTGATTACGAAAACTATGTAATTAAAATATATTTTGGTTGATTTTGTTATCATTTTACAATCATTATATGATATAAAATAAAATTTAACAACATTTAGGGATAATATGGTCATTTTAACAGTTTTGTTTTGTTCTGTCCTGTCCTAGTCGTACCAAACATATGATAGACAATTAGTCCTGTCCCGTCCCGTCCTGTCCTATCCTGTCTGCGTACCAAACGCTACCTAAAAGCTCATTCCTTTATAACAGAAAATATTCGAGGGATGATCCAAAATATGTTAGATTTACGTGAAAAAACGACCAACTTAACAATGGGATGATTTAATAGCATGTCCCAAATAAGCCAGATGGGGGTGTGGGTTTGGTCTTCTTTGGGCCAGTAATTTGGTTACAATTTCAAAACATATAGGTAATAAACATCCTTATTAAATCAGGATCTTATAGTAGCATGTCAATTATGAGAACTACTCATGCTTATTTCTTCTAACATTTTCCGTCAGTGAATAGGTGAGCTGCATTTTAAAATTGGTCAATATTCTGTATATTAATTATATATAATTTCAGTGTTGTACAATGCATATGTGTAGGTTTTCAAAGGTTGCAAGGGTTTCCGATATCTCAAATCTCAATATCCAAATTCAGATAAAACCTCAATTTTTAACTCAAGATATCATGTACGGTGCTTACCTAGTGTTCAAGTTTTATGATCGAAGAAAGGTTTCTAGCCAGCCATTATATGTGAACCTAAAATACAAGAAGGCAGGTGAAACACTAAATGCATATTTTGCGGAGTGGAGAGCCGAAGGAAAGTGGTTGACAATCGAACTGTTCCGATTCTGGAATAATAACGAAACAACCTATTTTGATGTTGTACTAGAGAGTTTCTCTCGTTATTATTGCGGCAATTGTGGCATCTTTGTTGAAGGCATAGAGTTTCAGGCCATTCGTAGCGTAAGTCAAAGAATGCATGTGTCTCTCTTTTGTGTACCTCATTTGTTTTCTCTTTTGTGTACATGTGAGGAAAGGATGCAAGAATATGCTGTAACATGATCAGATTGTCAACAGGTGGATTGTATCGAGAATAAAGAACTGAATGTTGAAAAGAACTTACGAACACTTTCGAGACCCGAGTTGGACATGGGCTGGATGGAACAAATGGCAACTGAATGTCAAGAAATAATCAACAGGTCTGAACAGGTGTTTTCACGCAAAGTGAATGGGAAGAGATGCCATATGCTACCTGCAAAAGCGGTTATATACGACCCTTCAAATGTAAAGTCCTACAGTCGAAAACCTGATCAACCCCAATCCAGGTTTGCTTTTTGAATCAACTTAACTACTTTCTTCATCTCAAACAATAATTCGCCGTACATTAAATATCTTTAACTCCTTTTGTTTTAAATATATCGATAGAGATAAATAATGCTAGAATATTTCATGGTATGATGCAATACGTGACTCGATATTAGTTGGTGCAGATTTGCAGAGTCTGTCGAGATTCTCTCACGCCATGAATTGCGTATCAAATGTGACATTGAAAAACAAATGCTCTCATCAGATACGACGTATGCTTGTTTCCTTGTGTTCAAGCTTTCAGAAAAATGTCGTGGGCTTAAGTGTCCAGTGAAGGCGCGGGATCTACTACCCTATAAAAATCACGAGAGAACCAAAATCATATCTTTCACGTCGCCGAGCACAGTGAATTTGGACAAAATTAAATGGATTCCAAAACAAAGGGAAGATGGGTGGATGGAGGTTATAGTGTGGGAAACTATATCTAATATGCATAATGGTGAGCTTATTCCTATGGATTTGAAGCTTATAAGTTTTGAAGGAACCATGTTTGGTCTTGTTGTATGTGGCATTGAGTTTCGTCCTATCTAAGAGTAAATGCATGCAATCACAATAACTCCAGTGTCTTATTATTCTAGTTAGGGGACGTTTACCCAATTGCTTACCCGGTAAGCGCTTATCGATAGGAGTCAACACTATGATTTATTTTGATGCGTAAGATTTTAGTAATATCAAAACATATTGAATGCAACAATTTAGTGGGTAAGCGCTTACCTGGGTAAGAGTCGTCATCCTCACTTACCGGGTAAGATTCTCCATCATTCTCATCGCTCTTACCCGGTAAGATTCTTGACCTTTCTCATGTTCATCCGATGAGAAAATTTATCCGATAAGTATTTACCAAGTGTTTAGTAAACGACCCCTAACAGTTGGTATTCATTTTTTTACTTTTCTATTCAGCAAGGCCATTGTTGTATACAGCTCTATAAGAGATCTTTTTTCCTGTTTATATAGTAGTGTTTATTTGACAGCAGGGTCGTCCCTCAACATGTTAAATGTGAGATTTTGAGCAGGGTCCCCGAAAATTTTGGGGCCCAAGTTTACATGTGTTTAGGTCTTTTTATCGACCTATGTAAAACTATAGCCGGAGTTATTTAGGTTCAAACCATTAATTGTTTGGTTTTAGGTTCAAATCATTAATGGTTTGAGTTTAGTTTCAGATTGTTAATCGTTTTAGGTTTAGTCCATTTTTGTTCTTAACATATATTCTCTATTATCAAGAAGACTCTCAAATGCACGTAAATTCTCCATATCCTCAACATTTTACAAAAACCAATAAAATTTTCCTACATTTTATGATATCCTTATATTTTTTCTAAACGTTGCTCAATCTCCAATTTTAAATCCTCACACTTAAAATTAACAAATCAAAATTAATACACAAAAGTGAAAACTAATAAGTTATATTCGAATTTTTGAAATAATTTTATAATATATATATATATATATATTAAATTTATAATCTATAAAATAAAATTACATCTTATAAATAAAAAATTGAAATTTAGGGTTCTTATTTTGTTGAAGTGGTAATAATGTGACAGAAAAAAAAAATGGCAAGTGGGATTTTTGAGATTCTGCCTAGGGGTGTTTGTGGTATGCGGTTTGGGACAAAATCACCACATACATCTCAAATTGTAAAAAACCAGTTTATATGGTTTGTATCCAACGCATTGTATGCCTACAATTCAGTTATATAAAAATCAACAATAACATGATTCTAGTAAAAAGAAGTATAAAACTTCAACATGTTGGATTTCTAAATACATATCATATAAATTAAAAATAATTTAAAATGTAAAAAAATTAACTTTAAACTGGGCCGTTTACCAATCGCTTATTCGGGTAAGCGTTTATCAAATCACATTATCTAACTGGATGAATATGGTAAGGACCAATAATCTTACCCGGTAAGATCGAGACAAGAACCAAGAGTCGTACCCGGTAAGTGAGAGCGACGACTCTTACTATGATAAACGATTACCGGATAAATTGTTGCATGCGATGTCGTTTTGGTAGACTAAAATTTTACGTAATAAATAAATAATAATGCTAAATTTTACTGATAAATATTTATTGGTATGTATTTGATAAACGACCCCTAAATGAACTTACTGAGAAAGTTCTTGGACTAATCATCCTCAAAATAAAATCAAAATCAATTTTATTCAAATAAAATCAAAAATCGTTTTAATTTAAATTATTCAAATAAAATCAAAATCAATCAAACATTTTTCCATTGATAAATCAATCCCATTGTCTGACTCTCTCTCATCCCCACACCCAAGACTCCTTGCAGGCCGACATCATCAACTAGAAGCCGTGAACTTGGAACAAATGATTGTATGTTCGTCTTCTTCAACTACACACATATAGATACGTAACTATTTGTATGGATGCATCCAGCGACTAATTAATAATCGTCACTCAAATTTACTCAACTTTGCAGGCCGATTTTGACTTATGTCTTAGTTTGACCAGAATATTTTGGCTCAACAGATCGATGCTGCAGATTGGATTTTGAAGAAACTTATTGGGTTTTTTGGATTGTGTGGTTTTGATTTGTTACATGAGTGATTGATTATGTTTTGGGGTGAACGGTTGAAGACAATGCGTAGTGGTTATTGAATAATTGAGGATAAGAAGCGAATATTAAGATGATGTCGAATTCGAAGGTAGTGTATGAAGGGTGGATGGTGCGGTATGGGAGGAGGAAGATCGGGAGATCTTTCATACATATGCGGTATTTTGTGCTTGAGTCGAGATTGCTTGCTTATTACAAGAGGAAACCTCAAGATAATGTGGTAAGAATCAATGGTGAAGTCGAAATTTGGATTGGTGAATGCATGCATTATGCTTTGTAATTGGTATTTGTGTTTGATCGTTTGTTAAGCATTTATGCTTTTGGCATTTCATCAATTATGAGAAAGTGATAAAATTTACTAGTGAACTTTTACATATCTGTTGGAGCAGATGAGATGAATTTTAGTTGTTGTATTGCATTTGACTCTTGACTCTGGAAATTAGGTTCCAATCAAGACATTGGTTATTGACGGCAACTGTAGAGTGGAGGACCGAGGCTTAAAAACCCAACAAGGACTTGTAAGTCTCTTTTCATCCACTTTTGCTGTTTGATGTATTCATTTGATATATGAAGTGGAACTTGAAAATGTATGCACTGCAATATTGAACATGTACTTTCTATTGCCGGGTTATATGGAAAATTGGAGATAGCAAGTGGTATATAGTTGGTACTTTCATCTTTACTGTCTATTAGACCTATGAGAATAGGAAACCAGAGGGAAATGTTCCAGATTCATATAGCAATTGCTTTTGACATTTCAGCACCTTTCTACTGTATTTGATTTTTGGGTAATTTCTGCGACTTTGGAGGCCTGAAGATGAAGCATGTTACACAAGAACTTTCTTTCGACCTAAAGTGTGATAGTCAAAGATTATTTTGTAATTAGATGTTTGCTTCTATATCCATATTGCAATGACAAGATGAAGTAATGTTATGATTTTCATATAGCGAATGGGGACTATTTATTGACTTCATTTTGTTGTTTTCTACTACCTATGTGAAGTTACATCCAACTTATTCATTCAGTGTCCTATAATCATGTTTTTTTGTGATTGGTTCCCAGATTTGTGTTTTGGTTAAGCTTTACTTCTGACCTGTATTCCTTTTGAGTATCTACTGTTAATAAATTATTTTGTTCTATTCATCTTCGTCTGTGTCCTCTATACTCTTCTGTATCTGCATTTAGCTGTGCCGTTGACCAGTCAGCTTTATTTGGAGAAGTTTAAGTTGGTTCAAGATTTGTGGAAGTAGGGTGTTTGTTATTGGAATCTCAAAGAGGTGCTCATTCTCATCAATTGAGGGTTTCTTTTTCATCATACCACCTATTAACATATGTTAGACACAGTGTTTTACGAATTTTATGTGTGTGTCTCCAGGCTCATGGAAGCATATGATGCAGTACTCATTTTAGGTTTCTCTCCTAGTACTCAATAGGTTCTAACCCTGATATGTACCTAGGGCTAAAGAAAAAAGGTCCTAGAGCCTCTAAGTCAAACATCTAAGAGCACCAATGCTACTGCCTTCATCACCATCTCTGCTGTCTGGTAATACTACAAATGCCTCCTTTTACTCTCTTTTGCTTTCGTTGATGACTGATTATCCTAGGCAGTTTCCTTGACTACTCCCCACCACTCTGTCTTTGTTGTATTCACTGTTGATGTAGTCCCCCCCTGTGCCTACCTAACATACCCCGGACTGAGCAACTTACTTAGGCTACGACCTCCATATCTTGTCTTTGAGTTTTGCTCAGTCCAGACCTCAAGTGATGATCGCAATGGAGTTTTGCGGTCACCTGATCTCTTCTGTCTTCTTTTCATCAGCAGAAGGCCTTAATTTTCTTTTGGGTCTTGAGATATTCTGATCTTTGTTGAGGATTACACATGCTGGACTAGTAAATAGTCTCTGCTCCTATGCTCTTGTCACCTGCTTGATCTTCTGGTTCCAAGTCTGTTCTGTTCCTGAATAAGCGAGGCTTTCTGTTTCTTATATATATATACATATATATATATATATATGTATGTATATTTTATCTTGGATAAGAAGTGAAGAGTGCGATTACTACTCCAGGTAAGATCCATGTCAAAATCAGTGATTCAACTGGGTTTAGCAGTATCTGCTGCCTGAAATGTGAAGAGGGTTAAGCAGCAAGTATTCTTTGTACAAATTAGGGAGAAAGTAGAGTAGGAGTATTGCAAAGGAGGGACTTGAGAAGATAGTTTGGTTTCCCAATGACTGTCATGGTGCCTAATTGATGGGAAGTGTATGTCATTGAGTTTTCCTAGATGGTAACATAGTTACGCAGAAGAGTTAGAACATTGCATAGTTTTAGAGTTATTGATGGAAAGCATGCCACATATTCCACGTTCTCAGGTAAGTTGATCACCAGCATTCCAAACACATACTGATTTTTTTGGTCTGACTAGCATTTATTATGCAATCATGTTGTGGGTACTTGGGACCAATAGAATGCGTCCATCCATCTAGTGTTTTCACCCTCTGAATCGTTAGAAGAATGTTGTCACCCTTACAAATCCTGAATCAAATTGAGTTATATGTAGCAAATAGCAATTTATGCATCACTGAGATTTTGTATGCTCCAACTAATGTTTGATATGGTAATTTTTAGTTTCATATCTGTATGCCTGGGTCACTTCTTCTTATCTACTATGTCTGTCAAGGTTCTCCCCTCAATAATATTTACCTAGTTACACGATATTTACAAAAGAATTGAGGCTTCTCGTACTCATGTTTTATTCCAAAGTGTTCTGGGTTGATCATAACAAGCCATAAGGTCAATCAGCTAAGATGATGGTTTATAGATTCTAGAATAGCATAAGGGCATGTAAGATAGGAAAGTAGCTAAGATTTCAAGCCTTCATATCATGAAACATAAGTCTCAAAGTTTTTCAATGTAATTCAAGGATTCATGCCAATGATTGTACAAATCAATCATAGATGCCGTACAAATTACCCATTTCTTCTTTTTATATATATTATAATAATAAAACCTATGGGATTACATTACTAGGCATAAGGATGGAAACTGTACATTGAGTTGAACAGAGAGAAGTAGTAGCTAAACCCTTGATGAGGAATAACATACTAGTTTCTATTTAATAAAGATACTTGAACTAAGTACCTTAATATATCTAATCAAATAGAAACTGTAAGTGTGTCAAATTCTACCTGACTACTAGATGAATTTAAACTCGACTAAGGGGCCGTTTACCAAACACTTACCTGGTAAGCACTTACGGGTAAAATTCAACACTATCACTTACTTACCGGGTAAGATTTTAGTCCACCAAAACGGCATTGTATGCAATAATTTACCTGATAAATGCTAAGAGTCGTCGTCCTCATTTACCAGGTAAGACTCTTGGTCCTTATCATATTCATCCCGTAAGGTAATGTGACTTGATATGTGCTTACCCGGGTAAGCGTTTGGTAAACAGCCCCTAAGAATAAGGATACTCCTTTTCTTCATCATCAAATGCATGCAGACCAACACAAATACTCATATGCTTGCAGAAGCTTACTCCCTTATCAACTACATGGTATCTTAAGAGCATATAGGACACATGTTATCTTCTGAAGCTTGATTATATTGCTAGTTTATATTTTGGAAGGATGAATCCATGTTGTAGTGTTGTCTTTTCAACAGTGGAACATGAAGAAGCTGGTTTTCTATTGTTGGAATATTGTGCTAATAGTACTTCACTCCTTTTTTTGGGAACAGATGGTGTACGTATTGTCTATTTACAACAAGAAAGAGAAATACCATCGGGTTACGGTATGTGATCTTTGCTCTTTCTCTTTTACATAAAAAGATGCGCTTTCTTGTCATTTGATGGCTTTTTATACAACACATCTGTGTGACAGTGCGAGATAGGTGGTGAAAAAAGGATAGAACATAAGACGGTTGCCGTAATATTGCATCCTCTTATATTGTATGCAGATGCATATAGTATTAACTTTTATTCATATACAGTTTCAAACAGATGCTGATTTGATCTTTGCCTGTATGTCAAATCATATCTGGTGAGAATTAGATGCATAATGTATTGCTAATGCCGGTGTGAACATTCATGTAATGAGCAAAGGTGTAAGTTTTATTAATTTCACTGCTTTTGAAACTGTAATTAAATTACAAAAATAAGCCATGACTAAGTAACTAAATATACATCCTTATTTTTTAAATTATAGTCTTTAAATTCAATCTTTACATTGTTAATTATAGATAAATATTTTACATAGAGAATTTGTATATAGGATGTTTCGGATGTGACATGGCTGCATGCTTATCTATATAGGCATCTGTTTATAGTAGATGCAAGTAAGGAATTAGGGATAAATTAAATGGATAAAACTATATAGGGATTTTAGGGGATTTTTTCACTGCCCTGGTGAGAGAGATAAAATAAGATGGATTTTGTTTGAGTATCTGTGGCATACGACACCTTTGGCATAACTAGTCCATTGGGTCCATGCAAAGTGCCCCCTGCACTTGGCCTGGGCAAAGTTGAGGCCTTCTGGCCAATGGTTGTGTCCCCTGAATGATTTATAGCACCTAGATGGATTCAAACCGAAGACCTGATGCTTCACGAGGCATGAAGTGACCCAGCAAATACTGTTAAGTCAACCCCTTGGCTTGCAGAGGACTTCTCCTTTTGATTTTTTTGATGTATCTTAGTTTACTACAGTATTTTGGATTTGTGAAGACTGAAGCATTAGTAATCCAATGATGGTAGGTTATCTGCGATACATTCTTTTAAGTGGTCAAATCTGATTCTGCTTGGGTCTCATGTCATTTTATTAACAGGTGATGCATTATGTAAATGTTCTATCTTCATGAAAATATTGATCGATAATTTAGTAGTAATAAACACAAAAAATATCCCCTATGCCCTTTTCATGGGTGGGGTGGGGTTTGAACTTCTCATTGATGATGCAGAGGGTGGCTTTCTGGCTACTGCAAGGGAAACTAAAACTTAGATTCTAATATTGAGACTGCTAAATAATCGATTTATGCCAGTAGATATATGCTATTATGATTGGAAGCCTTGGTTGGCAGGGCAAACTAGGGACAGACCATTGTGGGAGGATTGAGGTAATGGTTGATCAGAATCTTCTGTGCCATTGGTTGGAGCGGACTTTCAACTAGCAAAATGATTAGAAGACCCTTCTTAGTTTGTGAGAGTATTAGTACTACCACTGTAATTTGCTTGCTACCCAGGTGGTATTGGTCTTAGTGTCTGGAGGTATGCTATTCATTTTCTAAAATCCAAGTGGTTTTTAACTCTTTGTAATGTCTATTGGGTTTCTTTTACCGAAGTAGTTTGGAATAAAAGAGTTTGGAGTTCACATGTTGTTAATGTTGATCTAGGTAGCAATTTCTTTTTATAGGACTGAGTGTTTTATTTCACCAAAAGTATTAGCACATTCCTAAGTATTACATTTTTTTTTGGTGACATTTGTGTGCATAATGAGTTTTCCATCCGAACATGGAGTTTATGGACTAACTTGTATCCTTAGATGACTTCATCAGATCCTGACAGTAGAACCTAATCTTGAGCATTTATCAGTCGGCAGTCATGGCTTCATCCGCTTGCCCTTCTCTAGAAGGCTAGCAGCCCATGCTGTAGCTTTGTTGTTCCTAAATTTCCTTTTACAGGATGTATCTTGATCGAGAAAAAAGTGATTTCATGTGAGAAAAAAAATTCTGTTGCAGTTCTTTTCACTTCTTAACGTGCACATTTTGGATGCAGACATCATATGATCTTAATCGATTGATTCTAAACGTGCACATATGGGTGTCCAATCACTTTTCTCATGTTATCGGTCTCCAGAGATCTAATGGAAGATCCTACCCATTCTTTTTCCGTATTTTGATGAATCATACCAAATGTGATCCGCTGCCGAACTTAATCCAAGAGAGCTTGGAATCGGTATTGCTATCCGAGCTCTCTTATTGAATTGCTCATTCAATGAGCATTCTCAATATTATGCCGTGAAGAGGACTCGAACCTCCAYGCTCTTTAGCACGAGATTTTGAGTCTTGGTCAACCATCCCGAGTGTGTGATAAGAGTCGATAAAAGGTTGCCAAGATTAGAGTATTAAAACCTTACAACTTTCGAGAGGCTACAGTCTCTCCCTATTCAATTGTAGAAAATTGAATTATAATAAATTGATCTATATTCCAAAAAGGTAAACAATGAAGGTATTTAAACTAATAAGTAAAAGACTCCTAGAATAAAATGGATCCTAAAGAAAACAAATAAAACAATTAAAATAAACATAAGATAGTTATTATATGTAAACTTGAGGACTTATGACTTATCCAAGACTTGCTTTATCTTTATCTTATTAATCTGCCCTCCTTTCTTTCCTTCTTGAATATGTCTTTATACTCTAAAGTCTATCAATACCCCCCCGCAAGACTTGCATCTTATCCTCAAGATGAAAAGAAGGAAATTGCATCTTCAACGCTTCACAATCTTCCCAGGAGGCTTCAAACACAAGTAAATTCTTCCATTTGATTAATGCCTCTTGTCTTCCGTCCTGTGTTGTTCGTACTTGTAGGATATCTTCTGGTTCTACTATCATTTCCGTATCGTCATTTAGTTGATTCGGCATTATTGTTGACGAGGCACACTGTCCAGTTGCTCTCCTCAATTGAGAGACATGAAACACTGGATGGAGTCGTGTAGATGCCGGCAATTCCAAGCGATAACCCACCCTTCCCACCTTGCCTACCACTTTAAATGGTCCATAAAAACGTGCAGACAGCTTTTGGTTGTTGCTTTTCTTTAAAGATTTCTGTCGGTAAGGCCTAAGCTTCAAGAAAACCGTATCTCCAACGTCAAAATTTACCTCCTTATGCCCATCAGCCGATTGTTTCATTTTGTGTTGTGCTTGCATTAAGAACATTCGTAGCAAATCAATCTCATCATCTATGTCTTTTAACATTTGCTCCACGGTTGGAACAACGGTTGAGCCTTCTTTAAATTGCAATATTGTTGGAGCATCTCTCCCATATAATGCTTTAAACGGTGAACAACAAATGGAGCTGTGGTATGTGGTTTTGTACCAATATTCAGCCCATGCCAACCACCTCTTCCATAGTCGTGGCTTGTTTGACGTAAAACACCGTAAGTACTGCTCAATGGTGCGGTTGACAAATGACAACTTCCGTTTGTCCGTCAGACTGTGGATGATATGCAATGGTGAATTTTAACTTCGTACCTTGTAATTGGAAAATTTCCTTCCAAAAACTGCTAAGAAAAGCCCTATTTCTATCGATCGGTTAAGCAAATACGCTCACTTTGTACCTTGTTATCAGCTGCCTTTTGCCACTTGAATCCTTGTTTCTTCAACAAATCGTTAAAGGCCTTGCAATATGCCCGTACCCCTTGATGAATTTTCTGTAGTAACCATGTTTAACCCAAAAATTACAATTTTTGGTGTTGGCCATTTGAGCATTGCCTCAACTTTTGTCATATCCATGGACACCCCTTTTTTTTGAGACCACGTGCCCTAAATATACTAGTTCTTCTTGGCCGAACTCACACTTTTTCCTGTTCAAATAAAAGTTGTTTTCCAACAGCACCTTAAAGACCCCCCTTAAGTGCTTTACATGATCACTTTCGTCCCTACTGTACACCAGAATATCGTCAAAAAATATCAACATGAATTTTCTTAAAAAAGATCGAAATATATCGTTCATCAGTGCTTGAAATGTGGACGGAGCATTGGATAGGCCTAAAGGCATAACCCGAAACTCGTAGTGGCCTTCATGTGTTCTAAAAGCGGTCTTGTGTACGTCCTCCTCCTTCATTCTGATTTGCTGTGGCCAGATTTAAGATCCAGTTTTGAAAAATAAGCAGCCTTGTGTAATTCATCTAGTAACTCCTTAATTATCGGGATTGGAAATTTGTCCGGTAATGTATTTTTATTCAAAGCTCTATAGTCAACGCAAAATCTCCAACTCCCGTCCTTTTTAACCAAAAGTACCGGACTTGAGAATGGACTTTGGCTATATTGGATGGTTCCTGCACTCAACATTTATTTGACCAATTTTCGATCTCATCCTTCTGGTATTGTGGGTAACGATAAGGGCGAACATTGATCGGTTCTACTCCTTGCTTAAGCACAATCCCATGTTCTCTTCCTCTTTTTGGTGGCAACCCATCTGAAATACAAAAAACAGCCTCATACTCCTTTATTAGTTTCTCCATGTTGTTCGATAACGTTTTGCTACCCTTGTTCTCAGCTTCCACATTTTCTAATTCAATTAACACCCCTTGTCCTTCATTCCTTAGTGTCTTCATCATCAATTTTAATGATACTAGGGATCTGTCAAGAGTTGGATTTCCTTTTAAGGTTAGGGTTTCCCCTCCTTTTTTGAATCTCATAACCTGGTTTTGCCAATTCACCCATGTTGGTCCCAGTGAGGTCAACCATTTAACACCTAATATTATGTCCGAGTTCCCCAAATTGATGGGCAAAAATTCTTCCACAACTTTAATTCCTTGCATACTTAGCTTCACCCCTTAACATACTCCCCGTCCCTTCATGGCTTTTCCCGCTCCCATTGAGATATCATATTCTTCTGTGATTCTTGTAGATAACCCGAGTTTCTCAACTAACATCGTGGCTATAAAATTGTGGGAAGCCCCGCTGTCAATTAAAACAACTACCTTGGTCTTCTACCTCTCTTTCTAGCTTCATAGTCTTCGTTGTTGACAGTCCTCACTATTGAATTCAATGATACTTCCACTTCTCCTGTTTCTATCCCCGCCAATTCCGTCATCTCCCCCATTTCCGCGTCTTCATCGATGTTGTACTCTTCCGCCTCTTGAACCACCAACACGCTAAGCTCTTTCTTTTTGCATCAGTGACCTGGAGAAAACTTCTCATCACACCTGTAACATAAACCTTGAGCCCTACGTTGTTGAGGTTCTTGATCGGACAACCTTCTAAATTCCCTGACAAATTTTCCTCTCTGCCCACTACTCTTGTTGGAGGGTTCAACAAATCCCTTGTTTCCCACATATCCTTCTCCATTACGCTTGTTCAATCAGCTACCTTTTGGGTTATTTATTCTTGCTAAAATCTTGTTTTTTTCTTCTATCCTCTGAGATGGTTCCATGGCCTTTCCCAATCCCACCGGTGCGAGGGTGCGGACTTCTGCCCAGATTTGTGGACTCAGCCCGTTTAAGAATTGACTAACAAAACTTCATCCGGAATATCTTCTAACGAGGCTGCCAACATAACAAACCTTCTTTTGTATTCTGCCACCGTGCCGTCTTGCTTAACGGCCAATAATTGCTCACCTAAAGATCCCTCCCCCACTGGTCTAAACTGATGAAGCAATAATGTTTTTAATTCTTCCCATAACCTAATGGGTCTCCTCTTATTCTCCCACTAGAACCACAACAAGGCGTCACCCTCAAAAGCAATGATCGAGATTTCTAGTTTTTCTCCATTGGTTAGTTTGTTTAGAGCGAAATACCTTTCAACCCTCAATATCCAACCGTCTAGGTCTGTCCCTTCGAACACAGGTAACTCTAGTTACCTCCCCCTTATCGCAAGGAACTGACCAGTATCGTAGTTTTTTCTACGTGATAGTCCGCCTTTTTTGTTTGTCCATTGTCTTCGCTTTCATCCTCTCCCCCGCTCTTCTCCGTTCTCCTAAGCGCTTCTTCTTGCAATATCAACATTGTTTCCATTTGTTTGATCGCTTTCTGCATGTCATCCTTCAGCGACTTCACCTCCTCTTGGACCGTTCCCAAGCTTCCCTCCACCTCGTCCATCCTCGATATTGTTGATCGAGTCATTATCGCGTGAATAGTAATCGTAAACAGTGATCGTGAACAATAATTCATGGATAGTAACACGATTACTAATCCAGAACAGCGGCGGTAGGCTCTGATACCAATTTGATAAGAGTCGACAAAAGGTTGCCAAGATTAGAGTATTAAAACCCTATAGCTTTCAAGAGGCTGCAGTCTCTCCCTATTCAATTGTAGAGAATTGAATTATAATAAATTGATCTATATTCCAAAAGGGTAAACAATGAAGGTATTTAAACTAATAAATAAAAGACTCCTAGAATAAAACGGATCCTAAAGAAAAACAAATAAAACAATTAAAATAAACATAAGATAGTTATATGTAAACTTGAGGACTTATGACTTATCCAAGACTTGCTTCATCTTTATCTTATTAATCTGCCCTCCTCTCTTTCCTTCTTGAATATGTCTTTATCCTCTGAAGTCTATCAGTGCGACACTTCATTCCCTTCTTACGATAGGCTAGGATTAGTCTGGATCTAGCCTTAGCGTAGTAAATGCCATCAACAGGATGAACATAGTTCTTTTGATCTACTATACTTTATATCTTATTGAACTTTTATGAAGTTAAAGGAATAACATACTAGATGGAAGACATTCCTTGAAAAATGATGTTTTTGGAACAGGAATACGTAAGATGTTATTGATTATTCCCGGTGATATATTTCGTTTGGTAAATCAGAGGCGGATCCAGGAAATTTTTGGAGTGGTTGCACCAAATTAATAGCAGAATATAAAATAAAAATTAATTATAAAATACAGTTTACCTCCTATAACCGCTCAATACGACTCTACATTTTTGGAAACGGTTTATTACATCTTCGTCGTGATATTAACAAACATTTTTTTTTCTGTGGCACAGATAACTGAAACATTCAAAAATACATCACCAAAATAATTAACAGAAATATAAACAAATCAACTCCAGATATAAACAAATTACAGCTAAATATAAATATTAACAGAAATATAAACAAATTAGCCTTAAATATAAATATTAACATAAATATAAGTAAACCCCAAATATAAATAAATTAACTCTAAATATTAACTAGTAACAAAAATATAAACAAATTAACACCATATATATTAACTGAAATATATACAAATTAACACTATAGAGTTAGCCCTAAATATAAACAAATTAACCTTAGATATAAGTATCAACAAAATTATAAGCTAAATATAAATATTAAGAGAAACATAAACAAATTAACCCCAAATATTTACAGAAATAAATATTAATAGATGAGTCGGGGTTAGGGTACTTTAAGGCTTAATCTCAAATCGAGCAGAAGAAAAAAGAAGTGGATGCATACAATGAAGAAAAGTGGTTGCACTGTTAAGTAGCTTAAAAAAATTACACTACGTCGGACCAACTTTGTGGTATCCCGGGATACCACTGCCTTTGAGGGTGCATACGCCCTTGTGGTAAACGATTCAAGTTTTTGGATGGCTATATGATCTAATTGCATTTTTTTTTTCTTTAATTTTTTTGTTCAGGGGTTGAAAAGGGGGTGGATAGGGTTAGCGGTGTAAGTGGGGTTCGGTGCAAGGAGGAGGTTGGTTTGTTGTGGAAGAAAGATGGGGAAGTGGGGCATATGGGTTTTCTTTTGGTTGAGGGGGGAGGGTTGTAGCTTGTAGATATGCATAGATGTATCAGCACGAGGATGAGAGATTGGATTTAGCTTGGGACCACATTGACTTGTGATTTTCTGGTTGACGGAATCAACTCATTTGACCTATTAGCAAATTTGTTTGGTCCATTAGAACCCAAACTTGGAAAATAATGGTTCAAATGGGTTTATTGTGCCAGGTCTAATTTCAGCTTATCCATACTTATGCTTAAAAGGATATGACGTATTCATTTTGCTAAGTACTTCACAATACCTTGTTAGCCGTGTCTGTCTGGAGTTAAATAAATTCTCTTTTGTGTTTTAGATGGCGGCTTTCAATATCCAGGAGGCACTTATCTGGAAAGAAAAAATCGAATCTGTTATCGATCAGGTATCTTTTCTTGCAACTTGATGTTGTTGATATAATGGTATATTAGCTTACCTTTTTATTATCTTCATTTGTCTTTAAAAAAACCTTGATACATATGATGCTGTCTTGCAATTTAATGCAAATCATGGATGCACTACATTGTTGGTAGAATGTGATGTTTCCTTGTTATTGTTTTGACATTCACATGTCTTGGAGAAAAACTGACATATATGATGATATCTTGTAATTTTGATCTATTGATCATGTGCATGGATGTCCTTTGGAATTGGATAACGATGACTTTAAATACATGAAGCATCAGGAGTCTCTAACTGCCAGTGGGAATAAATACCAGTCTTTTGAATATAAATCTGGAATGGATAGTGGAAGGAATGCTTCCTCATCAGATCAGGAAAGTCAGTAAGTAAACTTACACTTGTACTCTGCATTGACTGTTAATGTTACACTTCAATGAACTTCATATGCATTAGCTTCGATTTTTGATATCAAGTGAGGTACTTGCACCATTATAAGATCATAATAGAACAAATATGGCTTTGGAAACCAAACTGGAATTGAGGTTCTGTAGGTTTGGCTTAACAAGCCTTATTATAGTTCTTTGGGATGTCATGGTTTCTTCAATTACTTTTGGCACTTCCTTCTTTGTAGGTATAGTGCTGCCGAAGATGAAGATGATTTAAATCCAAATTTGCTCCGGAGAACGACCATTGGGAATGGTGATTGATTTCTTCGTTTGTTCGACATGTTGATCAATCTTTTATATGCTTGCTATCTATTATAGCTCCTTTATTTGGCAGGTCCTCCTGAATCTATATTGGATTGGACGCAAGAGAGTTCAGCATTAGCAAGCCAGAATACCACTAATCAGGCAATTTCAAGGAAACACTGGCGGCTTCTTCAATGCCAAAATGGTAACATGCAGTAGCTCATATTATATCACTATTCAACACGGGAATTAAATTTCTAGGACATCCATATGGGAACATATTAGGTACCCCATTGGTGGAAGTAATGGTTATTAATGAGATCTCTCATGTTGAAATTTCCAGGACTTCGTATCTTTGAAGAGTTGCTTGAAGTTGATTTTCTTGTAAGGATCATTAGCTTATGTCTCCAGTTTTCTGTTATATAGTTTGGACGCTGCATCAACAACATTTTCATGTTATTCTTTTATACAGCCAAAGAGCTGTAGTAGAGCTATGAAGGCTACTGGTGTTGTGGAAGCCAGTTGTGAAGAAATATTTGAGCTTGTAATGAGCATGGATGGAAGACGCTCGGAGTGAGTCTTGTTGACAATTCATTATGCTTTGATGTTCATTTGCAAGATGCTTAATTCTATTTCTTTTTTACAATTTCTTGATCGTAGCTCTAGTCAAAATATATATCAAATAAGATGCCTTAGATAGTCCACTACATTCTTGACTTTCAGGTTGTCAGTCTGGATACATTGTTATTAGTATCTTTTTTCTAGGTTGTCAGGTTGTCAGTCTTTGTAATAATATCCAGTGGGTGGGTTGCTGCGCAACATGTGGGTGATTTTATATTTGCGGTGGCTAAGAAAGCAGTGAATTTCCTTAGGTGGATCATGGTCAGATCTACAACTGTTAAAGCAACAGGAAGAGGGGAAGTCACATATTAAAAAACTTGCATGTACATTTACTAAAATGCATACTACATTGCATGTATCGCATTTAAAACAAAAAAAACTACATGTAATCACCCCGTTTCGGTAAATTGAACTTAACCTTTGAGGATTCTATGAAGTGTAGTTAAATCCTTGCAACTACAGGAGCTCAAATCTGGTTTTTTGATGTTTTCGGTTACCGGATCGATAACTCTTTCTTCCTTCTTTCTTTCTTACTCCCTTTCTTCTTTCCTCTTCTCTCTCTTTGGTGTTTGTAGGTGTGAGTTTGTTGCCGAAATGAGTGGAATTTAGATTCATTCCAATTCCGACTAAAAATAATGTGGTATATGAACATAAACACACATAAAACCTCTCTCTCTCTCTCTCTTTGTCACTCTCATGCATAGGTTATCCTCTTACATATTTCCCATGGTTGCATTTCAAGTGAGTAGGCTTATGAGGTTTTGTTTTGAAGCTATAACTCTAGGAGCCTGTCAACCTTTGAATCAGGATTATCTGAAGGATAATCATGTTATATCAAAGGAATTTGCACCATCTTAGTCTTTTACTGTTCACTAGAGCAACTTAACTGCACGTAATTGCTCGGATTTGATAGTTTTGTCTGGCATTTCTTTAAGCAAAAGAACTTTCATTGATGCTCAACAGAATTACAGAGTTCAAAACATCAAATAACCAACTAGGAGAGTCCACAACTACGGTAGGCGAGGCGTAGAATTGTGGCTGCCTTGCCAGTGCATGGGCAACCACATTTCTATCTCTCAGGATAAACTGAACCTTAAACGACGGCTGAATCTGCAATAGCTGACGAGATCGCTGCATGATTGAGCCAAATTCGGTATTGTCTTCCTCCTGCTTTCTAGCTGCATTGGTAACGACCTGAGAGTCTGATTCAGAGAAACTTGTTTTTATCCCATTCCTTGAACCCTTGAGATGGATTCCAACAGGGCCAGAGCTTCACATTCCTTTACCTCAGGGCACCCTTGAGTCTGGATCATTTTCTGTGCAACTAAGGCTCTGTCTACATTCCGTAACGCCATCCCCATTCCCAATGTCCCAAGATCCTGGAAAAGTGATGTGTCACTGTTACCCTTCAAGAACGATGCTAGCAGCGGATGCCATTTGTTGCAAGACGGGTGTGCCTTGTTGTTCACTTGTTTTCCTGCTTTACTCCAATCCTCCATTGCTTCTGAGCCCAATCTAACTACCATCTCAGGCAGTCTAGACTGGTTTGTCCAAACCCTCAAGTTTCTTTCTTTCCAAATGCTCCATAAAATCGCCATGATCTTATTTCCCATTTGCTTAGTCGTTCTTCCAACCACTTTAGACATTGGTGAATATAGGAAAACCGAGGTTCCATATTTGACCTTTAGTCCTTGTGCTTTATTGCTGGCACTTGCAAAAATATGTTTAAGTTCCAGCTTATCAATGCTCTTTTTGTATCATTATTTTCTCTCCATAGCATCCTATATTTATTCATTGAACATATGCAGGTGGGATAGTAGTTTCCAGGATGGTAGCCTAGTTGAGGAGGTGGATGGACATACAGCTCTTCTCTATCACAGACTTCAGCTGGATTGGTTTCCAACGTAATTTTTGCTTGTCTTTGACATATGTGTTATTGTTATTGTTAACAGTTGTTGTTACTACTTTGCTTGGTTATATAGAGACACAAAAGGCTTTCTAATATACTTTACTTGATTATAATTAAAATTGGAAGTCTAATTGCACATGCCTTTCACATTCATGGTTATAATTTATTGAGCTTCCTGTTGGGAAGCACCTGTTGGAATGTAGGCTTCGGCCTACTAAGTTAGACAAAAGGGAGGAGGCATAAAGTAAGGAGCCGGCCCTAGCCCAAAAGGAGTCGGCCCTAGCCCAAAAGGAGCCGGCCCTAGCCCAAAAGGAGCCGGCCCTAGTCTCTACCCTAGTTTCCTTGATTAGGAGATAACCCTAATTATGTTTGTCTATATATATTAATCTCATTGTACTTGTAAACATTGTA